GTAATTCACCACATAAACAGAAGCAAAAAAAAAAAACCACATGATTCTCTCAATAGACGCAGAAAAAGCATTTGACAAAATTCGACACCCTTTTATGATAAGAACGCTTAACAAAATAGGCATAGACGGGGCTTACCTAAAAATGATACAAGCCATATATGACAAACCCACAGCCAACATCATACGAATGGGGAAAAAATCGAAAGCATTTCCACTTAGAACTGAACCAGACAAGGTTGTCCACTATCTCTACTTCTATTCAACAAAGTGCTGGAAGTCCTGGCCACAGCAATCGGGAAAGAGAGTGCAATTAAAGGCATACAAATGGGAACAGAACAGATCAAACTCTTACTATTTGCTGATGATAGAAAACCCCATGGATTCAACCAAGAGGCTCCTTCAATTGGTAAATGAATTCAGTAAAGTCTCAGGATACAAAATCAATACACACAAATTAGAGGCATTCATATACGCCATAGCAGTCATACCAAAATGTACCAGAGATTGATACATTGTATCAATGCAAAATGTATCAGAGATTGTCTGATTGATTGCTTCACATGGGTTGCTTTGAGACTATGTCTATTGATCAAAAATAAGCATCAAGTTTTAGTCAGTTCCCTAGGGAATAGAAATTAAAAAGGGTTTGGTTTTGCTTTTGTATTTTACAAAGGTAACAACCTATTAATTGAAATCTTTGCTCATGAAATTTCTTATCATCTTTAATGGACATTACATAGTTAACTAGAGGGAAAAGCATTGAAAAGGATAAAATCAATCAGCCCACAGGATTTTTCTCCCATGATCATACCATGAATTGATTAACTTAGCAAACATTCATTGAGTGCCTACTATGAGCCACGTGGATCCATCAGTGAATAATACAGCAAAGAACTCTGCCCTCTGGGAGGGGAGTGGGAAAAAGGCAGGGGTGCACCAACAATAAATGGCAGACATAGCAAATAAGTAAATTCTATAGGATACAGGAAGTTGATAAATGCTGTGGAAAGAGGAGGAGTTGGAATAAGGTGGAAAGAGTTGACTCATGAAGAAGGTGTCAATCAAGGAAATACTTGAAGGAGGTAAGAGAGTTAGGAGATAATGGGAGAAGAGAGTTTCAGATACAGGCAACAGCCAGTGTGGGATGCTAAGTCAGGAGTGAAGCTTGCATGTGGAGAGGAACAGTTGGGGGGCCCTATGGTGGGGGTGCATATCAGCACGGAGGAAGGTAATAGAAAGGAAGGTCAGAGTTAAACTCTAAATTAAAATGTTTGCTTGCTTCTTTAATTTTCTCTTAGTAGCAATACAGCTTTTTATATTAGATATTTTTTGTTCTCTGACATCATAGGATTGATCCTAAGTAGCCAAGATTATCAGGATACTTGGGTCACTTAATATAATTTCTAAATTCATAGGAACATTGAAGCCCATTGTGCATCACACTTTTTTTTTTTGAGTTGGGGTCTCACTATGTTGCCCAGGCTTGTCTCTAGTGATCATCCTGCTTCAGCCTGCTGAGCAGCTGAGATTACAGGTGTGCACCACCACATCCAGTTCAATCATACCTTTTTAAAATCATTACATGTTTTAAAACCATGTACCTTATTTTATATTTGGTAAAATATAATTCAGACTTTCCATTAATTACCAGCCTTCAATCACATTGTATCAACGAGATTATATCACATTTCCATTTTCCATTTTGGTTTTCTGAGTTAACCCATTGCCCAAAACAGAATGTGTGTCACTATATCACAAAGTTACATCACAACCCCCCTTTGGCCAATTCCAGCTAGGCCTCTTTTGTCCCACTGAGGTTATTTATAGGCTTCCCACAGACCTGCTCTTGCATGAGCAGGGTCCCTTCCCAGCCCCTCTCCCGCTCAGTGTGCATCCTGCCCCAGTGGCCTAAGCGGATCCTTTCTGTGCTACAAACAAGTGTGTCAGCCCCTGTCAGCTGCAATATCTGCCATGTCCCTGCTCCTCTGCTTCCAATGTCACTGTGCACTTCTGGGAAAGGCTTTGGGTAAAGTCAATGGAGAAGGGATGAGACTGCCGCGATTCAGGCAGAAAATAAGCAAACGCGGTTAAAACAAGCAAGGAAATAACACCCCCGCCCCTCAAAGCGGCACACATTAAAAGCAGCCTTGCAGGCTCTCGGGCTCTTCTCTTTGAAGTTATGGGGTGACTCTGGGGAGAGGGCAGCGGGCCGACGGCCAAAGCTCACGTCTGGGCCGGCTGGGGGCGGCAGGGGGCGCGCCCTTCAGCGCCACCCGCCTGGTCCCCCTGTCGGGAGCGTCTTGGGAGCCCCCGCCGCGGCGGCGCGGGGTTCTCTCGGCCTGGTCCCTGGGAGCGGCCGTGGGCAGGGGCGCTGCCCCGCCCCGGGGGAGGCGGGCCGGGCGGCCGGGGCTGGCGTACGGGAGGCGCAGAGCCGCACCCCGCCCGCGCCGGCACACTCCGCCCGCAGCCGTCCGGGAGCCAGCGCGCGCCGAGAGTGGTGAGCGGGGGACGCGGGACGGGGGACGGGCACGGCCGCGCCCCGGAGGAGGCTTGGCTGACCCGGGACTGGGACGGGGCGGGCGGTGGGCAGCTCTGGGTCCACAGGCTGTGATTCTCGAGGGGTCTGAGATCGGGAAAGTTAGCAGCGTCTTACCACATTAACATGCACATCCCCGGGGCGTCGGGTCTGCCTGCGGGAGCCAGGCCAGGCCCAGCGCACCCGCTGCGGCGCCTCCGAAGCTCAGCCACCCTTCCCAGCAGCACTTCGTGGACGTGGAGTAAGCGCGAACCCATGACGAGCCACCTCCCAGTGGGCTAGGTCCCATTGCGAGGGCAGGGTGGACGGGCTTGCTTACCAAACCAAGCACCAATCTAGCTTGGTATTAGGAACCGGGTCACCCTTCTCCAGTACATGGGGCGGGGCGTGGGGGTGGTGAGGGAAATTGAGGGGTACTAACTGAGGTCTCTGTAGGGCGCCTCTGGGCCCCATGACTTGGCTGGCCCAGCCACTTTGGGGCATCTGTTGGGGCTGCGTTTGGAGATCTCGCAGTGGGGCGCGAATCAGTTCTTTCACCAGGTCCAGCAGCGGCAGGGGCTGCAGCTGCTCTCTGAATGCTGACCCCACAGAAAATGGTGTTGCTCCAAGGCCTGAGTGGGCATGTGCCCGGCTTAGCAGAGACTGCAAACTCTAAGCTTTTGCAAATCAAGCGCTCATCTCTGCCCAGACTGGCTACTTTGGGCAATAATGACCTCAGATCTATGCTGAGGAAGTGTCAGGTGTGGCAGAATGTTGGTCCCAGTGTGCAGAGCCCTGGGTGCGTGGTTGGGGCTTTTAAAACTTATTTGAGGGTTTATTCTGAATTATCCGTTGCTCAGATGAAAACACTGAAACGACTGCACTCTGAGGAGTAGGAGCTCAATGCCACGGGGCTAGAAACACATGGGTTGAGGCTGTGACTTAGGCTTCAGCCTAACCCTTAAAGTTGGCGATTCCTATTCCAGATATTGTGGAATATTTGTAAAGTGACTCTTGGGAGTTGGGTTGCTGGAAAATGAGGACGCCTGGACCTTAGTGATACAGTGTTTCTAGGATTCTGGAAAAAGAATGGCAGACAGGCTCAATCAATTCTGAAGAAAATGGTGGTGATAAAATTAACCACTTGGGCACAGAGCATTTCATCAACTTGAAAAATTCTGATTTGTTTGCCTCAGGTTTATAAACCTTTCATGGGAGGAAATTGTGTTTTCATAAAACGCACTTTAATAATAAAAATTTACTTCTCTACGACAACAATCTCCTTTTTAGACATTGACTTTGAATCCTTGGAGTAGGGTCTGTCATTCCAAGAATGGTCATGCCTTATCCTTGATCTTTGGGGGACTGGAGCTGCTTCCTAAATTAATAACATTTGGGGGTTATATTTAAAATCAGCACTTATTCCATATTCCAGGGAGAAGTTTGATGTTGGTCCTTCAATGTTTAGAGCTTAGAAGTGTTAGGCCTCTCTAAGTTACATAAGAAGCAAAAGAGAGGCCAGGTGCGGTGGCTCACACCTGTAATCAATCCTAGCACTCTGAGAGGCTGAAGCGGGAGGATCACTTGAGCTCAGGAGTTAGAGACCAGCCTGAGGAAGAGTGAGACCCGTCTCTACTAAAAATAGAAAAATTAGTGAGGCACTATGGCGTGTGCCAGGAGGCTGTAGCTGGAGGATCATTTGGGGCCAGGAGTCTGAGGATGCAGTGAGCAATGTTGAGCCACAGCTCTCTAGCCCAGGTGACAGAGCGAGACTTTGTCTCGGAAAGAAAAAAAAAAAAAGACGCAGAAGAGGAGGAGTACTGTTCTATGAACTGACCCCCAAAGCTAGTTGTGTTCAGGAGGGACAAGCGAGTCTCGCTCTGTTGAGGGGTCTTTAATCAGTGATAGTTCACTGTGCTCCAAATATGCATAGGTGCTTTAGAAAGTTTTTTTGCTTATTGCTAGTGAGGTCAAGAGGCCAATGTTGATCTCATCTATAATCTAGGTACCTATTAGCATAGAACCCTTATTTACCAGACTCTAAATCTTCATTGCAACAGAGACCTATATTCATATAGTATAACTTGAGAATCTCAGGATGACCTTATATAGCAATTGGCTTATAAACTTATGTATATGAGATTCATGATAACCAGTCTAAAAAAACATCATCTTTCTTTCCTGTGATCGTTTGGGACACAGGCTCCCATTGAGGACAGCTGGTTAGCTCTTTGTGTCTAGTGCCTGAACTGGTTCTTCTCATTAAATTCTGAGTGGGTAACTGAAGAGCCAGCTAAGGCAATGCTTGCTGTATATTTCCAGCTTGCTGTTGACTAAGTGTCATGTGTTCTCTCTTGACTGCTGTTCAGCTTTTCCATAGGGGAAAAAAATCAGTAACTGAGAGACACAAAGTAACTTTATCTTTCTTGATGCCAAGGAACTATGATGAGAAGGAAACCCTAGAAAAGGACTGTTCTTCTTTATCCCAACTCAGCATCACTGAATTTCTCTTTGGAAGGAGGACTTTCCTCAATCCCTGCTTTATGTTTCAGTAAGGGCAGGAAGTTGACCGCCTGTCCTGTGTTCTTTGGAGACTAGTGTAGGGTAGTGCCCAGGAGATCAGGAAATACGTTCACAGTCTATTTCCATTACAGCTTGTGTGAAGGTCGGGGCTCTGTATGAGCAGAAATTTCAGAAGTATTCCTGGGAACCAAGACAACTGGATTTATTGCTTGGTGGGCGTAGAATAGTATAGTGCAGTGGGTAGCTACTCTGTGTTAAAGGGAAAAGCTACCAATTAATAGTCAATTAAAATGGTCTACATTTTAACTCATGTTTAAATTCTTTATTCTAAAGCTATACTGACCTACTTCCTGTAGGTATTTCCAAATGTGGAGACCCAGGTATTATTTCTCTAGTTTATCTTTGATGAAATGTTTTCATTTTTCTATTTTGTTCTGGCTCTTCAAAATCCTCTGATTCTGGGAATACCAGGATGGAATTCACGTATCTAGTATCTGTAGAGTCGGAAGATTTTTTACATTTGATTTTGTGTGAGTCTCTCTGTAAACTACTCATCAGAAAAGGAAAAAAAAGAAAAGAAATTTTCAGGCAAGTAAGGAAGATATTTATGTGAATAGATGTCTTTTTTGTTTTCCCTAAAGTTTTGAGGTTGCTTTCAAAAGAGCATCGTCTATAACCTTTTTCAAAGAAGAGATCTGATGGTTGGGAGTTGACATAATCAAAACAGTGCAGACCCAATTTTTGGAAAAGTACACATTATTGGTTAAAATGTGGTTATAATTAGCAAAGTGACTGTGCAAAATGGCATCCTTTATCCAACATCACTGTGCACTGAGTGAGTCACCAGTTAGTTTTCTGACAAAAACACGACCTTGTTTTTTAATTTGTTTATGATTTCAGCATGTTATGTAGTTCTGGATGAATAAGCCAGAGAATTAATTTTTTCAATGAAGTAATTAACACTTTCAAAGGACTATACTTTAAAATTTCAAAATGTGAGGTTTTATATTAGGGTAGAATGAGCCTGAATTAGGTGTCAGGAGACTTGGGCCCTAATCCTTGATCTGCTAATGGCAGGATGACTGTGGGCCACCACATTAGCTCGCTGAGCCTCAGTTTCCTCCACTTTATAGTGGGAATACAGTAGCCACCCACCCCCTTATCCTCAGGGGATGTGTACTGAAACCCCCAGTGGATGCCTGAAACTGCAGATGGCACTGAACTCTATATATACTATTTTTTTCCATCTGATAAGCCTGCTACTAAGTTACTAATGGGTGGGGGAACATCTACAGCATATATATGCTGGACAAAGGAGATGATGATTCACCTCCCAGGCAGATTGGAGTGGACAGTCTAAGACCTCATTATGCTTCTTAGAATGGCACATAATTTAAAAATTATGAGTTGTTTATTTCTGGAATTTTCCATCTAATATTTTCAGAACCCAAATTGGCCTTGGGTAACTGAAACTGTCAAAAGTGAAACTGCAGATAATGGGGAACTACTGTATTAATTTTCTCCTGTTACTCTTATAAGATTGTCATCAGAATTAGAATAGATAAGGCATGTGAGAATGCTTTGTAAACTGAAAAGCACCATGCAGATACCAGGTGGTGGTGTTCTAGTGGGCTTGTCTAATGTGTCCAGATACAATCCAAGTGGAAATACAGTAAAATCTGCTTTGTTTCTCAAATTTTACTTGGTTGGATTGGAAAATAAACATGCTTGAGCAGAGGCTTTGAAAAGAATAAATGTTAAATTGTAGAAATGCCCTCTGTGAGTTTTTGGTTGTAATCAGCCTTTAAACACATCTTAATTTGATTGGAGTTACATTAAGACACTTTATAAGGCAAACAGTACAGATTTAGCTAGTTTAAGCAATTGAAACTACTTTTTGTTTTTATTGACCTCTGTCTGTACATTTATGTAGGGATACACATGCTAACTAGCTTGACTGGTCGTCCTAAACCAGGCATGATTTTGCTCCCAGGGGATATTTGGCAATATCTGAAGAAATTTCTGGTTGTCACAAGTTAGAGGGTGGTGTGCTACTGGCATATTATGTATTGAAGCCAGAAATGCTGCTAAACATCCTACAATGCACAGGACAGCGACACACAATATAGTATCTAACCTGAAGTGTCAGTGGTGCTGAGGTGCCCAAGCTCCTATGCAATGGGCACATTCATTTATAAAGAAGTCAAAATGTTTATAATGTTATTGCTGGGTCTTTGGTATGTTGCCCAGAGGTGGAAGAGGAATGTGTAATCCACAGAACTAAGCTCTCTGCCCACCCTGAAGTTCAAGATTGTTTCCTACTTGACGTACAAAATGAGAGAGGCTTTATTTTCTTAAGAAATTTCCTTTCTTTTCCTTTTCTATAACAACTTTTCTCTTGAGTTTCGCCTGTATTAGCATTGTTTCCTACTGGGGACCCCTTACTTTTGCTTTAAAAGGTCAAGTACTATAGGAAATACAGTGAATGGAAGGTGTCAAAGCTCTGGGAGTCGCAGGAGTCACTGTGACTTCCCTGTCAAACTGCCAGCAGTTCTCCACCTTGGAAGATGGGCATGGTCATAACCTAACTGCTTCCAAATAGGTCTGAGATTGCCTAGGTCAAAAAAGAGATGTGCAAAAAAAATTTAGTCAAAGGTAATGTTTGACTGTGATATAAATAACAGAACTATAGTACAGGTCAGGCATTCCTAATCCAAAAATTCAAAATCTGAAATGCTCCAAAATTCAAAACTTTTTGCATGCCTACATGATGCTCAAAAGTTATGCTCTTAAGATATGCTCTTTAGGCCAGGTGTGGTGGCTCACACCTGTAATGCTAGCACTCTGGAAGGCTGAGGTGGGAGAATTGTTTAAGGCCATGAGTTCAAGACCAGCCTGAGCAAGAGTGAGACCCCCATCTCTACTAAAAATAGAAAAAATTAGCCGGGCCTGGTGACACACACCTACAGTCCCAGTTACTTTGGGGGTCTGTGGCAGGAGGATCGCTTAAGTCCAGGAGCTTGAGGTTGCAGTAAGCTGTGATGATACCACTGCACTCTAGCTGGGACGACAGAGCGATATTCTGGTGCGGTGGCTCATGCCTGTAATCCTAGCACTCTGGGAGGCCGAGGCGGGAGGATCACTCGAGCTTAGGAGTTCAAGACCAGCCTCAGCAAGAGCGAGACGCTGGCTCTAATAAACTAGAAAGAAATTATCTGGGCAACTAAAAAACAGAAAAAATTAGCTGGGCATGGTGGTGCATGCCTGTAGTCCCAGTTACTCAGGAGGCTGAGGCAGGAGGATTGCTTGAGCCCAGGAATTTGAGGTTGCTATGAGCTAGTCTGATGCCATGGCACTCTAGCCCAGGCAACAGAGCAAGACTGCGTCTCAAAAAAAAAAAAAAAAAAGAGGAGAAATGCTCTTTGGAGCATTTTGGATTTTCAGATTTAGGAATGCTTAACTAGGTATATGCTGATATACCAAAATCCAAAAAGAAAAAAAAAAAATTAAGATCCAAAACACTTCTGGTCCCAAGCATTTCAAATAAGTGATACTAAATCCGTATAAAATAACCTGTGTGTGTAAATGAAGCACAGAGTAAGTCCTAGAAGTAGCTCTGCCTGTTTGAGTTTTTATGAAATTTAATATTTTGCATTTTTAGAACCTATCAAATGGTTGATATTTATTGGACCCCTTGGGGCAATGCTATTGTTTAAAATGATTGAGTAATGTCACAAGTGAGCAAATCAAGGAGAAAGAAATTCTGATTGTGTCAAGGTCCAGGTAATTTTGGCCATAGCACAGGTGAGCCCGAGCGTAGGAAGAACTCACCCTGGCTGCAGAAGCCAGAAGCTGCCCTCCTCCTCTAACCACAGGAGCCCCTGCAGCAGCTGTAGAGCCTCTTGTGCTTTTGGAGACTTGGCACTGCAGAAGGAGCGAGAGAAAGCAGGAATGATGTCTCAGGACTACCCCTGTGGCACTGGGCAAGGCAAACTCCAAAATATCTTCTTCCATGTTGCCTGCTTTTTTTTTTTGAGACAACGTCTCACTCTGTTGCCCTGGCTAGAGTGAGTGCCGTGGCATTAGCCTAGCTCACAGCAACCTCCTGGGCTCAAGCAATCCTTCTGCCTCAGCCTCCCGAGTAGCTGTGACTACAGGCATGCGCCACCATGCCTGGCTAATTTTTTCTATACATTTTTTAGTTGTCCAGATAATTTCTTTCTATTTTTTTAGTAGAGACGGGGTCTCACTCTTGCTCAGGCTGGTCTCGAACTCCTGAACTCAAACGATCTGCCCGCCTCGGCCTCCAAGAGTGCTAGGATTACAGGCGCGAGCCACTGCGCCCAGCCCCCCCCCCGCCTTTTTTAACCTTAGTTTCCAAAGATTTTATTTGGAATAATGAGTATCTTAAAAAAAAAAACGGCACTTCCAAATCTCACCTGTCCTTGAAAGCTTAGCTCCAACACCACCTTCCCTTCCCCTCTTAGATGTCAGCTTTCCGGGTTTAAATTCCGTGGCACACAGTCTGACTCATAGCATCGATGGCTTGTTATTTCCATGAATGCCTGTCATCTGCCCTGCTGGACTGTGGGCCCTTTGACCATACAGATCTAGTTATCTTTACACCCAAACAGGAGCTGACAAAGTGCCTGGCCCAGGGAAGACATAACTGTGGGTAAATGTAGGTGTAAATAATGGAGCAGCAGCTATGTCTGGAGGTCATTGCCTTTCCCATCTCAGTAGGAGTCAGTCAACACCGCTTTCCTTCAAAAACCCAGAGTGGGGCCGTTAGTGGGAACAGAGGGGAAGTGGGCAGTAGTAACACAAGGAACCCTTTGTAAGGGTGGCGGAAAGAGTGCAGGAAGGCAGGTGAAGGAGAGCCAAAGATAAAGCATGATTGTTTATATTATCTTACCTAGGAAGGGGCAGAACATTTTCCTCCCCCTCCCCCTCCCTCATGCATCGTTGGCCTCTTACTCTTGGGATTCAGAACACAGGCTGGTGTGATCAAAGTTGAAATTTATGAGTTAAATGGAGTTTGGTAAGCCGGGCGTGGTGGCTCACGCCTGTAATCCTAGCACTCTGGGAGGCCGAGGCGGGTGGATCTTTTGTTGTTTTTTTTTTTTTTTTTTTTTTTGAGACAGAGTCTGGCTTAGTTTGAGACCAGCCTGAGCAAGAGCGAGACCCCGTCTCTACTAAAAATAGAAAGAAATTGGCCAAACAACTAAAAATAGAAAAAATTAGCCAGGCATGGTGGCACGTGCCTATAGTCCCAGCTACTCGGGAGGCTGAGGCAAGAGGATCCCTTGAGCCCAGGAGTTTGAGGTTGCTGTGAGCTAGGCTGACGCCACGGCACTCTAGCCCAGGCAAGAGAGTGAGACTCTGTCTCCGAAAAAAAAAAAAAATAGAGTTCAGTAACCTAGCTGGAAAGCATCCCACCCCTTGGTGAGATGTTTTTATGGTTCCACACTATTGACTTAGGCATAATGCCTGTAGGTTGACTAGAACTGCCCAATGAAATAGTGGTGATGCTCGATTTAAGTGAAGTCTTTCAGGACCAAGCTATAACCTCTCTCTTTTTTTCCCCTCAGGAAAATGGCAGACAGTTTTTCGGTAAGCATTTTACGTCTGTTTTCTTACGCTCATATACATCTCACATAGGTTGAGGGGTTGGGGGGTCTTGTTTTTACCACAACTTTCCCTTTCCAACTGCATAGTTTCCTTTGGCCTCACTTGTCCAATGAGGGCTTGTTAGCTGGAGCCTTGTGTTTCCAGCAGCAGATTTGAGAAGGAAGCCAGGCAGAGATAGGCCTAGGACTTACTAACAGTAACCCTTTCACCAAAAGGCCCAGAACAGAAGAGAGTAGACTCTGCTGGCAGGAGCTAAGAAATCCTCTGAGCAGCAGGAAGGGACATGCAATCTGAGCATCCCAATGTTTGTGATTGTTTTGCCCATGTTGATTAGAAAGTATGTGCTGTAGGTAGAGGAGAGCTAGCTCCTCATTTGAGCAAATTACAAAAACGCATCCCCTGATCTGAGATAATGAGAGGCAAGAATAAAGTGAAAAAGCATTTGTAATCCCAAAGTCTAATTTTAGTCTTTGAAACTCAAAACTATTAGTAGGTGGAATAAAGCTTATTGATATGAATTTCATACCTTCATCGTATTCCTCTGCTTCTTAGAACATATATTTCTATTTTCCTCAAAATTCTGTTTTTTGAATGTTTTCTATCCTGTAATTGCTTATGTCTTTCTTTCCAGCTTAGTGATGCTTTATCTGGGCCTGGAAAGCCAAACCCTCAAGGATGGCCTGGCTCATGGGGGAACCCGCCTCCTGGGGCAGGGGGCTACCCAGGTGCCTCCTATCCTGGGGCCTACCCTGGGCAGGCACCCCCAGGGACCTATCCTGGGCAGGCACCTCCAGGGGCTTATCCTGGGCAGGGGCCTCCTGGTGCCTACCCTGGCCCTACAGCACCTGGAGCTTATCCCGGACCACCTGCACCTGGAGGCTACCCGGGGCAACCAGGCGGGCCTGGGGCCTACCCACCTCCTGGACAGCCCAGTGCTCCCGGAGCCTACCCTGCTGCCGGCCCCTATGGCACCCCTGCTGGACCACTGGTAAGATGGAATCATTTCATGTACTTGGTGCCCAGAGGGCTTCAGGGAGACCCATAGCTTTAAACCAGCCACTTAGAGCCACTTAAGGACCAGCCATGGGTGTATGTTGGTCCAATAGAAAAAAAATAAGTGTTCATATTGAGTTTATTGTGTATGCTGTTAGTATAAAGAGAAGGTAATGTATCTTTTGAAGGCATTGATAAAGCTGCCTTAATATAAGTCAAGTTAAGATTGCAGTAATGGGGGAAAGTTTTGGTTATTCTTAACAAACACTTTGCTGAGTATATAACATGTGCCAGCAGTATGCATCCACCTGGATCATCTCATTTAATTGCACTCCCGCTCTATAAGATACTGTTATTATTCTCATTTTCCACACTGGGAAATGGGGTAATAGAGAGGTTATATGACTTGCTCAGAGTCATTGAGTGAACATGTGAAGGAACCAAAGTAATCTGGTTTTCACAAGCCTTCTGAAGATAATTTGTGACCTAAGGATTGAATTTTCATGCAAATTAAAACACATTTTAGGCTGGGCGTGGTGTCTCACGCCTGTAATCCCAGCTCTCTGGGAGGCCGAGGCGGGCAGATTGTTTGAGCTCAGGAGTTCGAGACCAGCCTGAGCAAGAGCGAGACCCCGTCTCTACTAAAATTAGAAAGAAATTAATTGGACAACTAAAAATATATAGAAAAAATTAGCCGGGCATGGTGGCGTATGCCTGTAGTCCCAGCTACTCGGGAGGCTGAGGCAGGAGGATCGCTTGAGCCCAGGAGTGTGAGGTTGCTGTGAGCTAGGATGACGCCACGGCACTCTAGCCTGGGCAACACAGTGAGACTCTGTCTCAAAAAAAAAAAAAAAAACAACACATTTTAGCAAGTGAATTCTAAATGTAAAACATAACTCTGTGGGGGATCCAGACACAGCTCAGTCCCAGATCCCTCCTTTTAAGACTAGTTGGGAGACAACATATAAACACAAGGAAAGAGCTAAAAAACAGTGTGGCATTAGACCATTTCAGGACACATAGAAGATGGCACAAAGCAGTGTCATCTCCTTTTAGGTCAGTTGAGAGGAGACCTCAGAGAAAGCCTTGGGGGAAGTGGGTGGCATTGAGCTGGGCCTAGACCAGAGATGGTCAGTTGCAGACAGAGGGCGACATGAAGGCTGTGGAAAGGAACAGGCAGATGTGAGAGAGATTGTAGAGAAAGAACCCCAGGAGCTAGTGATTGCATCTTGGGAGTCAGAAATGACTCTAGCTTTTCTAGGTGGGGCAACTAGAGCACCAGCAAAATTTTAGCCCAAACTGGGAACTCAGGAAAGGGAACTGATTGGGGAGGGTCAGGGGAGACAATTCCAGTTCACACCTGTTGGATTTGAGGCACTAGTAGCAAACCCAGATAGGAGGAAGTACAGGACTAGTGCAGATCAGGGCTCAAGATCGAAGACTTGGGTGACACTTGAACCCAGGGGGAAACATTATAAAGGGAAAGAGAAGAGGCCACAGGTAGAACTTTGGGGATATTCACTGAACCTTGAACATAGATGGCCAATAAATATTTGTGGAATGAACTGTACAGTGTTAACTAAAAAGTGTTCATTCTATAAATATTGACTATCTGCCACATACAAAGCACTCTGCTGGTGCTGTATGAGTACACCATCCATAGCATATGAGAATCCAGAAGCCTCAGAATGTGACACAATGCCTACCCTCAGCAGAGTAACCACAGTGAAGTATGTTGTGTGACAAAGGTCTTAGCAGTGGCACAAAAATGTTAATGTTGACTGCAAGGTCTAGCTTAAGCCTTTCAAAAAAGTCTACATAAATGAGTTATAGATTGGGACGGCCCTAGGAAAGAAAGTTACAGTGTTCCGAAAGATTATTTTCTGCTTTGGGGACCAATTAACTGACAGCATTATTTTCGATTATTATTTGTGCATGTATGTAGCCTAACCTCTCCAGGCCCTGAGCAAGATGGCCTGAGAGTCTGGACTGATGGCTTAAACAAGCGTTATGTGTTTTTGACGTGTTTACATAGTGATTGAAGTTTAGCAACATTTTTTTTCTTTCCCCAAGAAAGCACGACTCCTTATTGATACACACATACTTGTTTATTCCCAGACTGTGCCTTATGAACTGCATTTGCCTGGAGGAGTCATGCCTCGCATGCTGATAACAATTCTGGGCACAGTGAAGCCCAATGCAAACAGGTAAAGAGAGCAAAATTAACAAGCCTAACATAGTTGTTGATTGGTTTTTGAAGAAAGAATAGCCTGTTTTGAATTTCAATAGGATTTTTTAAACTACATATTTAGAATCTTGGCTATATCCTCATACGGGATTATCTCATAAATCACTATGTGTTCCCACATAATCTAAGTGCCAGGGTCACTCACAGTAAATGGTAACACATTCTATTCTGTATTTTGGTATGTATTATATCAGTTAAATTTCATGGTTGAAGGCAGGGCAAGCAATATTGCTATCCCCTTCTCATTAACAAAACTGGGGTTCAGGTTCTACAGATGATAAGTGGCAGGCCTGAGAACCCCAGATTTCTGAGTTGATACTATTGGCTTAAAGAGTTTGAAGAAATTCTACAAGTTAAAAAGTTCATTGAAATAAATCAGCCTTTGCCATTGGAACTGGTTTGGCTGAGGTGAGCTGGTTTGGGGTGAGGATTTATCTATGAAAATTCCTGCTGATTTATGGCTATCCTGGGACACCCTGCCCTGGTTGTCACCACTGGCTATGCAGTACTTACATATAATACGAAGAGGCTGAATGTCCTGAAGCCATCCAGTATGCCTGTCCCTGAGGTTACTGGAACCACTAAAGCTCCCGCAGCCATTCATGGTCTATGTCTCTGGGTCTTAGAGTACATAAAACGTACAAATTCAAGCCATGTACAGGTTTATTCCAGAATCCATGAACAGCCTCTGTGTCTGTCACCTTGCTCCTGGTGAATTAACAGGAGCCACATCCTGTCACCAGGAGATGGACTCAGCTTCTGATGTGATAATTTTACATTCAAATAGCCCATCCACTTCACCTCCAGCCAGCCTCCTCTGGTTCCGCGTGGTGCTTACCCCCCTAAGCCAACCCTTCTTTCCACATAGCCTAGCCAACCTTTCTAAGCACAGTACTCCCCTGCATAATAAAGCTCCTCTCACAGGAAATTACAAAATATATATATCCTCTGCCTGTGTCCATATGCATGCTTCCTCCCAACAAACTGTAGAACTTGGCACACCTTATCCTGTGCATACAGCACTCGTGATTTGTCAATATTTGTTAGCATCTGCTCTCCTCCTCCCACAACCCCTAACACACAGAACCACACCAGTATCTTGGCCTTATTAGGGTCATTGCACTGGAAAGTTTAATTCCAATAATGCTAGAGATGTAGACTGAGACTGTAACAAATCAAAACTAATTCTGGCTGATATGATTAAGGGTAGTAAGCTGAAAAAATGTTGCTTAGTCCTGCAAATTCTATAAGGAATTGCATGAAAAAAAGTGCTTAAAGGGCCAGGCGTGGTGGCTCATGCCTGTAATCCTAGCCTGTAATCTGGGAGGCCGAGGCAGGAGGATCACTTGAGGTCAGGAGTTTGAGACCAGCCTGAGCAAGAGCGAGATCCTGTCTCTACTAAAAATAGAAAAAATTAGCCAGATGACTAAAAATAGAAAAAAAAAAAAATAGCTGGGTGTAGTGGTGCATGCCTGTAGTCCCTACTCTGGAGGCTGAGGCAGGAGGATTGCTTGAGCCCAGGAGTTTGAGGTTGCTGTGAGTTAGGCCGACGCCGCAGCACTCTAGCCCAGGCAACAAAGTGAGACTCTGACTCAAAAGAAAAAGTGCTTAAGGTGACAGAGATGATAATATCTACTTTTTCAATGAAGAGGAAATATAGCCAAAAGATATGTAGTCAAATACAAATTCTACTGCCATTTTTCCCTGTGAATTTAATCATTGGAAGATACACTTGGAGTTGAACGTGACTATTGCTGGGTGAATCAAAATACACAGACAATCATTATTAGTCTAGAGTGCAGACCTTGCTTTAAAACAAGAACACCAGCTGATTCTGGTGTTAGTGCTCTATGGAGCACACTTTGAGAAACTCAGGGATGGGGTTAGTCAAAGAGGACTTGTGTTTGTATTAACATCTGAGAAGGAACAGGGTTAAAAGGTTAAACTAGTACTTTCATTAGTTCCATCTCACATCATGAAATGTTTAACACATTTATTGTCCTGCCTTTACAACTTAGCAATAGGATGCTGAACATTAACTGCATTATCTCATTCTTGCTGTTTTAGAGGAACTAGGTTTCTGGTTAAGCATGAGGAAGCCAGGTATTTGATAGCTCTTAGTTATATAGCTGGCTTGCCTTTAACGGGTATTAAAAGCAACCTGGCAGGGCTGGAAAGAGATAGCCATTATCTATAATAAGAGATAAAGTGTCCTTAAAGTGGGCTTAATAAAAAAAAAAAACCTTGAAGGGTTTTCGTAAGTAGAGTCTGTAATGAGGGCATTTGCCCAGCTGAGTGGAATGATGTGATCAAAAACAATGAGGCAAAAAAAATTCAACACATATTGTCTTGCTTACCTTCAGATTCTATGGTAGGACACAGAATATTGGGCTTAGTATACTTTCCAGTTTGAACCCCTTCTCTGATTTACTTTCTGTTCAGAAAAATTTTTCTATATACTGTATTGTGAAATAATTTGCCTTTTAGAAAATTGTATGTTCTTCACTTGATGTAAGAATACAACTTTAATTATTCTAATAACTCTGGTCTTTGGCTTAAAACAGAATTGCCTTAGATTTCAAGAGAGGAAATGATGTTGCCTTCCACTTCAACCCACGCTTCAATGAGAACAACAGGAGAGTCATTGTTTGCAATACGAAGCTGGATAATAACTGGGGAAGGGAAGAAAGACAGATGGTTTTCCCATTTGAAAGTGGTAAACCATTCAAAGTAAGTTATTGCTACTATTATATATTGACAATGTGTATTTCTTGTGGGCACTCACTCTAAAACCACAATGCACTTGAAATGAATTTTTATCACCTGTCCTGGGGCACCTAACCAGTACATCTCCTCCCCATCCCAGGAAACCAGGCACAGCAGGCTGAGAACATGGCCAGGAGTGGCGCACTCCCCAATTCCTTGCAGGCACCTCACCATCATCACCGTTGCCGCCCCTCTGAGTTTAAGCTTTCCTAGAAATGAAAAAAATATCATCTGTAATAAAATAGGCAGAAAGTCTTTGTAAATGGCATGATATTTTTTATAAAAATATGGAATTTGCATGTCATCCTTGCACAGGGGCCATGCTAATCTTCTCTGTATTGTTCCAGTTTTAGTATATGTGCTGCCAAAGCGAGCACTAGGCAGAAAGTCTTTATGATATAATTGTACTGAGACTTTGTTCTTTAAAACAACATAGTTGGCATGGTGATCCAAACTACATTTTTTAAATTATAAAATTGCTTGTTTTATGAAAAGAAAGACTTACAGATTTTTATTTTTATTTATTTTTATTTTTATTTTTTTTGAGTCTCACAACAGAGTCTCACTCTGTTGCCCGGGCTACAGTGCCATGGCGTCAGCCTAGCTCATAGCAACCTCAAACTCCTGGGCTCAAGCGATCCTCCTGCCTCAGCCTCCCGAGTAGCTGGGGCTACAGGCATGCGCCACCACGCCCGGCTAATTTTTTCTATATATATATTTTTTAGTTGTCCAGATAATTTCTTTCTATTTTTAGTAGAGACAGGGTCTCACTCTTGCTCAGGCTGGTCTCGAACTCCTGACCTTGAGAGGTCCACCCGCCTTGGCCTCCCAGAGTGCTAGGATTACAGGCGTGAGCCACCGCTCCCGGCCCAGATTTTTAAATTAACGTAAAAGCCTCCTATCCTTTACCCCTTTCCCCATCTTCACAGAAGTTACAATTTGATGAGTATCTTCCTGGTATTTTCTGACATACAACACACTTTTATTTTTAAGCACTGTTTCAACAAATACTATTAGGTCCACAGCATTCAGCTAGGATTGACTATAGAGTAGTCAATAAAACAACTGACTGTAAGCTCCTCAAGGGTAGGGACAAATAAAGACCATATTCTACATTTGGTGGACATCTTTCCATATCAGAATATTGTTACTTAATAATATTTCATTTTTAGATATGTGATAATTTAATAAGTACCCTACTGATAAAAATTTGGATATAGAAATACTCCAAATGACCTGGATTTATTTTACTAAAATATTGTAATAACCATCCTTATAAATCTTTGCTTCCTCGAGCAAATCTTCTAGGAATCTTCGCCTCAAAGAATTAGATAAAGTATTGCCAAATTGCTGCTTCCAGTAGTCATCCACCAGCTTTTGGAAGAGTCTATCTCCCCTACCCTTGCCAAACCTGATTTTTTAGAAAATTTTATTTCTTTGAGACAGGGTCTCACTCTGTCATCCAGGCTGGAATGCAGTGGCACGATCATAGCTCACTGCAGCATCAAACTCCTGGGCTCAAGTAATCCTCCCACCTCAGCCTCCTGAATAGTTAGAATGACAAGCGCCAAGCCACCATGCCACGCTAATATTTTTTTTAAGAGATAGGTTCTTGCTATATTGCCCAGGCTGGTCTCCAACTCCTGGGCTCTAGTGATTCTCCCGCCTTGGCCTCCCAAAATGCTGGGATTACAGGCATGGACCACCATGCCTGGCCCCAAACCTGATTATTATCAGTCTTTGTAACATTTGCCACTCTCAGGGAATCCTGCTTTACTGTTTATTTTAATCTTTACTTTAAGGTTTTACTTAATCTTTACTTTAAGACCATACAAATTATTATTTAGGCAAATTATTAACCTTTTCCTTTATGGCTTCATTTATATGTATTCTAATTTTGTTGCTTTGTCTTTTTTTGTTTATTTAAATATCTGAATAATCTAGAGTTTATTTTTGTTGTAAAGTTACTTTCTCTGGATATTACTCAGTTCCACAAATGCTGATAAAGATGGAATGTTGGGGCTGGGCGCGGTGGCTTAGGCCTGTAATCCTAGCTCTCTGGGAGGCCGAGGTGGGCGGATTGTTTGAGCTCAGGAGTTCGAAACCAGCCTGAGCAAGAGCGAGACCCCGTCTCTACTAAAAATAGAAAGAAATTAATCAGACAACTAAAAATATATAGAAAAAATTTAGCTGGGCATGGTGGCACATGCCTGTAGTCCCAGCTACTCGGGAGGCTGAGGCAGGAGGATCGCTTGAGCCCAGGAGTTTGAGGTTGCTGTGAGCTAGGCTGATGCCACAGCACTCTAGCCTGGGCAACACAGTGAGACTCTGTCTCAAAAAAAAAAAAAGAAAAAAAGATGGAATGTTGGACATCCTGAGCTCAGGCCAGACTGGTTTGAAATTAATGGGCATTTCTTTTTTTTCTTATTTAAATTGACAAATATTGTATGTATCGTGTACAATATGTTTTAAGATATATATACATAGTGGAATGGCTAAATTGAGTTAACATATGCATTACCTCACATAACAGTTTGTATATGTGCCATTTCAGATACAAGTACTGGTTGAACCTGACCACTTCAAGGTTGCAGTCAATGATGCTCACTTGTTGCAGTACAATCATCGGATGAAACATCTCCATGAGATCAAAAAACTGGGCATCTCTGGTGACATAAACCTCACCAGTGCTTCACATGCTATGATATAATCTGAAATGGGCAGCAACTTTTTTTAAAAAACAAAATTGAATCTAAACCTTATACACATAAAAGCTTCATGTTCACTATGAGAGAAAAATTTTACATTTATTCATCAATATTCTATAGTCATCCATTTAATAAATATTCTTAAGCTAAGAGCTACCTGTCTTTGTTATTTAATTAGAGCAGTTTATTCTAGATAATGCACAATGGAAAAAGAAATATGTAGCAATATTAATACTGCATTAGGACCTCCCAAAGTTTTCTATACTTGCTAAATTTTTTTTAAAGGAAAAAGTAAATACTACCCCCAAATTATCCTCTCTTCCAGAGTTTCATAGAAACCAGGAGATGCCACAGGGAGATTATTCCTTCATTTTCTTAAGGAAATATTAATATAACACATTCAGGAAATGAGAAAAGCAGAAAGTTTATGTACCCCCATAGGTGACCTATAACCACTGACAATTACTGTTAGCATTCTGGTATATTTCTTTTGAAATCCTATTTTATCTCTGTGAAGTATACTGCTTTCAAATCAGTATTTGATACCAATAGGAGATTATTTCTCTATAGGTTCTTTTGGTTTTCATGAAACCTCCAGACATGTAAAAGAAAAAGAAGTAGTATTTTAATTAGATATATAGTCGGCTTTCAAAATTTAATTGTTCCTATCACTATCATTCTAAATACCTTTCCTTAATACCAGCAAGCCCAAAGATTAATACAATTCTAAAATGAGGATATGGTCACAGCATTTCATCTTATAGAAGGCCATACTGTTATGTTATCTATTATTATTTCTACAATCCCATCTTCTCAAATCCATTAAATTGGTAATTGTCACAGGTTAGGTTTCCCAGGAAGCAAAGAGATTAAGATGCAAGAGACTTGTGAGGGAGTGTCCTTGCAATCCACACCTGTAGAGACAAGGAAGAACACAACTGGGCAATGTCTTAGCCTACCTTAGGGGGAGCACTGAAGCTGGGATAACACTTCAGAGTTGTGAAGTGTTGTCAGCCTTTTATATCCCCACTTCAATCAATCACTGAATACAGGATACCTGGGAAATGGCGTGACCTTGGGTAAAGTGGCTCTTTTCAGCTGCGGCAGCACAATACTCACGGGATGACAGCTGAGGGCTGTCTGCCAGCAGTAGTTCCAGCAGTTAAAGGATTAAATTTTTTGGCCCTAAAGAGGGATTTGGGCCAAAACCACATTTCAAAAACTATGTAAATTCCTTACCCTAACATTCTGGTCTTGACTGTTACCTACTTATATGATTAAATGGAAGAACATAGCTTTGGGGAAGAGAGAACTTAGTTTACACAAAATTGCTTAAATCCTCCGAGCCTTGGTCCCTTTGTCTGTAAAACTCATACATCTCTTGCAGGGTTATTGTAATATTAAGTAAAATATTGTTTGTAAAGGGCTGTCCTCAATAAATGTAGGTCCTCAATAAATGGAAATTGTTTTTTTTCTATTTTGGAAAGACCCTTGTTCTACCAAGCAGTTTTGTTTCAATTTGTCTCTTTAGATTTTCCTAATACCTCATAATTCTAGAGTTCCACAGCTCATGAACACTATCTAGTTGTAGGGGACATTGATGGTTTTTATTCAGGTATGATCCTAGATTCAATAGGGAATCCTGATTAATTTAAGCCAATCCCCGTTGGTTCATTGACCTGCAGATGGGTATATGGTATTAGTTGGTTTAACCAGTCCAAAGGGAAAGACGTAGCTTTGATTGCCCCTAGCAGCCATCCTATGACACCAAAAGGACCCAGCCTTAGAGGAGAAGCCAGCACCAAGGATAACAGAATGAATTACGGATAGAATGTTGGACCTTGATGGCATCATTGAGCTGTTGATTGTAAAGAGCCTGGAATCACCCTGGTAATTCATGAAATAATAAATTTCCTTACTGTTAAGCCAGTTTGAGTACATTACTTATTTGAATAATTCAAACAAGCCATACAGAAAAAAAAATATACATAAGTTAGGGTTTTCTCAGGGCCCAGGGCCCATGAATACCCTAATAGCTGAAAGTTTTGTAAGTGATTCAGTGGTATATTTTATTAAACTTACCCACAAAAATCATGTTTACTAACATTGTCTTATTTTTAATCTGCTTTTTTTTTTTTTTTTGAGACAGAGTCTCACTGTGTTGCCCAGGCTAGAGTGCCGTGGCGTCATCCTAGCTC